ACAGCCAAATCATTACTCGTATACCTGCATCCATTAGTTGTGCAGAAATCTAAGATCTACAGACTTTATTGGCTGTTAAAAACTTTATTGTCTAGACATGGCGCTCGCTCTGTTTGTATGTGTGTGTATATATCTTATTTACTCAACTATTTATATAAAGGGTTCTATTCTTCCTTGTTCAGAACAGATGTTTGGTTAAGTGATATATAACTTCATCATTATTGGACTATAGTACTTTATTGTTTGAAGAAGAATTGAGGCTCCTCTTAGGATGACAACAGCAGACTGAAATTCAGAATTTCAAAGTTTCTTCCAGAAGATGTACATGCCGTGTTTCTTTTTTCAGAGATGGAACTTAGCTCTCTTTGTGGCCAGGCACCATTCCCTAAAGAAAATGTTATCATTTGGGTCCTCTTTGCTTTTTTGTCTTAGCTAGGAAATCCTCCCTTTAAAAACAAAACCCTGCCATTTAGTATCATCTACTCTCCTATCTTCAGGTTTAGATGTCTTTAAGATTATTCTTTAGCCCTACCATAGCTCATTCTAGTGTTCCTCTTATTAGTGCATTGATGATTTAACTATTTGTTACTGTTCTTTTTTGAAGGAAGTAGGATGGTTTAACAAATGGTGCCAAAGAAAAGGCAAGCTTACACACAGAAAAGTTTACTTTATATATTTAAGAGAGGTTTTGAAACCATTAATAATTTATTGAGAAACAATTAAATGGTATAGCTGTTTTGGAAAACAATCTGGCAGTTCTCTGACAGGTTAAATATAGAGTTACCGTATGATCCAGCAATTCCACTCCTAGGTATATATCTGTTTTAGTTTCCTAGTGCTAATGTAACAAAATACCAAAAACTGGATTACTTAAAGCAACAGATGGTAATTTTTTCATAGCTTGAGGGACTAGAAGTCCTAAATAAAGATGTTGGCAGGGTCATGCTCTCTTAGTGGCTTTAGGAAAGAATCCTTTAATGCCTTTTGTACTACCTTCTGGTGATTGCTGGAAATCTACAAATCTGTTCCTTGGTTTGTAGATCTATCACTGCAAACCCCTGTCTTCACTTGGCTTTCTCTCTGTGTATATCTCTGATTCTTGTCCAAATTTCCCCCTTTTGTCCTTACATCAGTAATACTGGACTAGTGCCTACCCCATTGGCCTCATTTTAACTTGGTTACCTCTATAAAAAACCTATTTCCAAAAAAGGTCACTTACCGAGGTATTGGAGGTTAGGACTTCAACATATCTCTTTATTTGGGGGGGTGGGGGGGGGTGGGGGGAGTGTAAGGGGATAGAATAGATACTAAGATAATTGAAAACATATATCCATACCAAAAAATTTAAACAAACCTTAATAGCAGTATTATTCATGGTAGCGAAGATGTGGATGCAACCCAAATGCCCATTAACTGGTGGTTGGATAAGTTAAATGTGGGATGTCTGTACAATGGAATATTATCTACATATATAAAAGCCTAAGTGACTGTCCGACCAGTAGCTATGATGTGCAATGACCACCAGGGAGAAGACGCTCAACACAGGAGCTGCCAAGCGACAGCAACTTTGCAGAGTGCCCCCCTGCACTCCAGGACCCCTCGGGGGATGTCGGACTGCCAGCTTTGGCCCAATCCCCGTAGGCCAGGCTGAGGGACCCCACCTGCCAGAGGGACCCCGCTCACTCCACAGATGGCCTTTGAGTTCCGGCACCGCCCCAGGTGCGGCCGGCCAGGGAGGGACCGTGGGAGGTTGGCTCCAGTGCATGTCTGGCCCATCTTGCCCAGTCCCACCCTGCCAGCCACCTTCTAATTAATTTCCTTTCAATGTGCACGAATCTGTGCACCGGGCTTCTAATTCAGCAATTAAAAAGAATAAAATACTGATACATGTTACAACATGGATGAACCTCAAAATTGCTACAATAGAAGAAACAAATCACAGAGGATCATCCTATATAATAAAAGGCTAATATGCAAATAGATTGAACGGTGGGACAACTGAACAATTGGTTGCTATGACATGAGCTGACCACCAGTGGGCATGTGCGGAACATGGTGGGCGTTGGCCACGGTGGGATGGTAGAGCAGGTGAGCGAGGGCACCAGACCAAGACAGGGTACCAGTTGCTGTCATTGGGGCGAGCCTCTGTTGGTTACTGAAAATTCTTTGCTTCTCTGTGCCATGGTCCCACCCGGCGCTTGCACCTGCTGCTGGCACCGGAGCCTCCACTCACACCCACTGCCAGTGCCAGCCTTGCTCACACCCGTAGCTAGCGCTGGAGCAGCCACTCACACTCGCTGCCAGTGCTTGGCGCTGGTCCTGATCACGTGGCTCCATCAGTGGGTGCAGGTGGCAGCTGCTGGCCCTGTTCACCTCTGAGGGCTTCTCCACCTCCCCCTGCTCCTGAGGGGTGGTCGAGGCAGCAGCTGCTGCTCGCACCCACTGCTGGCACCAGCCCCAATCACTCTGTGCCGTCAGTGGGTGCAAGCAGGGCTGGTGCCGTCAGTGTGTGGTGGTGGGAGTGTGGCTGCTGGCAGACAGGGGACCTGGGGCCAAGGTGGGAGGGGCTGGGCGAGGGCACGGAGGATGGGCCGATACCCGCGCCTGTGCCTGCTGCAGCCTCGTGGACCACAGTTCAAGGTGCACAAATTCGTGCACTGCGCCCCTAGTATATTTTAGGATTCTATTTCTATGAAATGTCCAGAATAGGCCAATCTACGGAGACAAAAAGTAGATTGTATCTGGGACTGGGGTGGAGGTGAAGGAGTGCATGGAGTGAAGCATGACTGCTAAATAGGTGCAGGGTTTCTGGTTGGGGTAGTGGAACTGTTCTTAAATGTATTATGGTGATGGTTACACAAGTCTGAATATATTAAAAGCCATTGAATTGTACACTTTAAATGGGTGAATTGAATGATATGTGAGTTATCATTGAACCTGCAAAAATAACTACATTAATGGGACTGAAAGATGAAAGGATTTGACATTGGCCTAGAAAAAAAAAGTTTAGGGCAGAAAAGCATTGAGCAGACTGTCAAATTACAGTGGGAAGGCTGGGAAGTGTTGGAGGGGGAGGGGGTAAGAGATCAACCAAAGGACTTGTATGCATGCATATAAGCGTAACCAATGGACACAAGACACTGGGGGGTGGGGAGGGATGAGGGCATGTGCCGGGGGGTAGGGGAGGCCGGGTGAAGGTCAATGGGGAAAAAAAAAAGGAGACATATGTACTACTGTCTGTAATACTTTAAACCAGTGGTTCTCAACCTGTGGGTCGCGACCCCTTTCGCGGTCAAATGACCCTTTCACAGGGGTCGCCTAAGACCATCCTGCATATCAGATATTTACATTATGATTCATAACAGTAGCAACATTACAGTTATGAAGTAGCAACGAAAATAATTTTGTGGTTGGGTCACAACATGAGGAACTGTATTTAAAGGGCCAGAAGGTTGAGAACCACTGCAAAATAAAAATTTTTTAAAAAAGTGATAACAAAGTAGAAATGTGTGGATGTAAAGTATCCTATATAATAAGAGATGGATATGCTAATTCGCCCAGATATGCTAATTAGCCACGGCTGGATATGCTAATTAGCCACGACCAGTATGCAAATTCATCATCACTCTAACACACAAGATGGCCAGCAGGGGAAGGCAGTTGTGGGCGATCAAGCCAGCAGGGGAGGACAGTTGGGGGCAACCAGGCCTGTAGGGGAGGGGAGTTGGGGGGATCAGGCCTGAGGGGAGGGCAGTTGGGGGGACCAGGCCTGCAGGGGAGGGCAGTTGGGGGGGACCAGGCCTGCAGGGAGGGCAGTTGGGGGGGACCAGGGCTTCATGGGAGGGCAGTGGGGGGGGACCAGGCCTGCAGGGAGGGCAGTTGGGAGGGACCAGGTCTGCAGGGAGGGCTGTTGGAGGGGACCAGGCCTGCATGAGAGGGCAGTTGCGGGTGACCAGGCCTGCAGGGGAGGGCAGTTGGGGGGACCAGGTCGGCAGGGGAGCAGTTAGGGACAATTGGGCTGGCAGGGGAGCAGTTAGGCATCGATCAGGCTGGCAGGGGAGTGGTTAGGGGGTGATCAGGCTGGCAGGCAGAAGTGGTTAGGGGCAATCAGGCAGGCAGGCAGGCGAGTGTTTGGGAGCCAGCAGTCCAGATTGGAAAGGGTGCAGGCTTGGCTGAGGGACGCATGCATGCACGCGCACGCGCACACACACACCATGCATGAATTTTGTGCACCAGGCCTCTAGTAGAATCAATAAAAATTTAGAACACAGCTTTGACCATTGGGACAGAAATGAATTTACAGGAATCCCTGAGAAATTAGCAGGCTTTAGTACTCAGGCTTCATTTAACCTTTCTTCTGAAGATCTTTTTTCTTTTTTTCAGTTGGAGGTATGGAACTGTATCACATTTCAGAGATTAATTTATTTGAATCAATCTTAAATTATAATTCCTACCCCTGTTACTATAGACTTTATAGAAAATGTTTTATTTGGCAAATACTTGAGTTAAAACATTGGCATTCGTGCTGGAAGAGGTCAATTGTATGAAGAGACTTGAGTAGGAAGTATGTGAAAGTAGAAAAAGGTATAGGGCTGGCAGCTATCTGCAGGGAAGAAGGTGTATATGAGGGAGACAGGGAATGGAAATGGTAGGGTTGGTGCCCAGGGAGAATGGCAGACATTCAGGGGAAAAAATTCTCAGAAAAGCCAGAATATGCTATTAGGCACAAGCCTGTGGCTCGGGAAACAAATGGAGTCTATGTGAAGATTGAGATTTGTCCATTGGGAGACAGACATAAAGTGGTTTGTAATGTTGGCTCACCCATTCTGGGTATAACAACTTTGCTCCTTTTTGGCCTATAGTGCCCCCTGGTGGTACTGTTGGTAATATTCGTGGAGTTCTTTGATCTTGCTGTGATTCCCTATATAGGTGATTTACTCCCATGCCAAACATGGAAGAAATTATTTCATGTGCATGAAAAAGACTGGAGTATATTTTTAGGATAATTTCATAAATTAATTCTCTTATTTTCTACATGCAATTTTCCGCTAATAGAATTTCTCTTGTAGAGGATATTGAAGAATAAGATCCAAACATTCTGCCCTGGCCAGATGGGTCAACTGGGGATATGATAGAACTATTTTGGACACCAAAACGGGTGAATTTTACTGTATGTAAATTTATCTCAATTTTATAAGATCCGCCTTTATCTAGTGAAGTGACCATTGCTCTAATTGGGACCTTGTCTTTTGTTTCACAAAATAATAAACTAGATGAGTTTGTCAGTTAGTAGAATTAAATGAAAGTTGCTATGTACATCTACCTGTCCCTTTGAAAACTAACCTGGAGGGCATCATTATGCTTTCTCAACAAACACTTCAGGAGCTCTTGGTGCAGACTTTATTTAGCATCTATTCTAGCCCATGGTCAGTATATAGAATTCCCTCTTAACGTCCTTCTTCCTTCTTCATAAGAAGTTTTGTACAAGCTCCTGGACCAGCCGTGGGCAAACTATGGCCCGTGGGCCAGATCCAGCCCGTTTGAGATGAATAAAACTAAAAAAAAAAAAAAAGACCGTACCCTTTTATGTAATGATGTTTACTTTGAATTTATATTAGTTCACACAAACACTCCATCCATGCTTTTGTTCCTGCCCTCCGGTCCAGTTTAAGAACCCATTGTGGCCCTCGAGTCAAAAAGTTTGCCCACCCCTGTCCTGGACCATGAATTTTTGTACTTGAGGTCTTGAGCTCCGTTAGGAAAGGTTTTCCTGCCCCCAAACTATTTCTTGTCATTTGCCACCAAATTCTAAGTTCTATTCTTAATTGGGCCTTCCATCTATTTTTTTTCCTTTTCACAACCAGCTAGTCTAGGATTGGGTCACCAAGGACCTCCTGCAGTCAAAGCAGAAGAACAGCACAGTGGGAAGCGCGTGTTACTGATTCAGAGCTAGGTAACACTCCTGTACGGGAACTGCAAACACAGGAACCACACAGTGCCTAGGCCTGAGCAGGATGGCCTCTACCCTGTGAAAGTGCTTACTTATGTAATATCTCTGCTCTTAAATTATATGTAATTTGGGGATTTGCTTTACTTTTAACTTGAGAGTAGTTCTTAGTACTTAGAAGAAAGAAGAGTTAGAGCAGACATGAAATATTATATAGTAAGAAAATTCCTCCTTAAGGGACTGCTTTACTGATTTTTAGGAGCATAATTACCTATCCCGACAAATTCAGATTAAAGCAGGGCCCCCTTTCACTGGTTCAGACACTCTCCTCCCAAAGTACCACCCTGAAAACTCCTCTACCAGGCTTAGTATCTAAAAGCATGCTCTTCTGTAGCATTCCAGACAGGCGTGTGTTTTATTCTCTGTGGTTGGCATAGTCACTTCCTGTTTGTTTCCTGCTGGCCCACAGTGAAGGCAAGGCCAGGTCCTGAACTGAGGCAGTGGATGCAGTCTGCATCTTGCCAGCGGAAGTGGATTGTTTAGTCTGGGTTCAAGCACAGGGCTAGGCAGTCTCAAGTTTGGAATAAGAGTGGCATGCAAGAGACTCATGAAAGACATACTTGATCCCTGAAGAATTGCGTGCAGCTGTACACATAACAAGGCACAGAAGTGGTCAGATGAAATTAGAGAATCAGGGAGGAAAGGTCAGCTGGAACTCACTGTGGGACAGGGACAGGCGAGTAAGTCACCTTTGGCATTTTAATGTGATATTTTCAGAAGCAGCAAATTCAGGCATCTCTTTTATGAAACAAATACTAGCTTCGTGGTATAGTTAAACTTTCTCTTATAAGTATAATTTATTTATAGAAATCTTAAAAGTTGTAGGCTATTTAACTATAAAATTAAATGTAGAATGGATTCTTCTCTCTGCCTTATTCTAAATTAGAAGCTGTTATCCTATCATCATGTTACAATCTATACTAGTAATAATAAAAGCATAATATGCTAATTAGACTGGACATCCTTCCGACGAAGCTGGGGCTTCCAGGGAAGCCCAGGTCCCGGGTGCCAGAGGGAAGCCGGTGCCAGCAGCCGGGAAGAAAGGCCTACTCTTGCACAAATTTCATGCATCAGGCCTCTAGTATTCAAATAACCCATTCCTAGTTGTTCCCCAGCCATTCTTAAGTTGTATATATATATAGCATTCAAATCTTAAAGAGTTTTCATTAAACATAGGTAGATCATCTATAAAATTCAGAATTTTTTCTTCTTTTTTTAGAATTTCTTATGTTAGCTCTTATTTTGGCAATAGAAGAATACAGAACACTTATCACGAATACCCCATAGTGGGGTTTGAATTATGACTTGCTTGATTGGGAAAGGGAAGTGAGGCATGGGTGGGACCTCATACTTGAATGATTTGGCAAAACTATTTTCCTCTTTTTCTAATCCCCCAAAATATGCATGTTAGAAGTAGGGTTTCCTCTTGTCCTATGACAAATTTGAATCCCTCAACATCTTTTCTCCTATTTCCTGATACTCAAAGATTTTGAACAAATACTTTGGAGAAAACCAAAGAAAATGCATAGAAGACAAATTTAATATGAATTGTTTACTTTATTAGCACTAAATGCAAGCAGTCTTCTGTTCAACTTTTTCAGTTCTCTTTTTTTCCTGGTAAGGTAATGAAGAGAAGACAATCTCTAATCAAGGCTTCAACAATAAAAGAGTAGATTTAATTTGAAAGCCCAAGGAGTTCAGATTCATTCATTTCAGCTATGTGCTAATGGTCTGTTAAATCAGGTATTGTTCTTGGTGTAAGGGTACGGCACCTATAATTAGACACACAAAGTCCTTACTTTGAGGAACTATGTCTTGGATCTCTTTCTAAAACTTAGCCAATATTGTACTCCTGAAAGGCCTCAGAATGCTTTCATGTGTAGGCTTTATGTAATAGAGTTTCTAGTTAATGTTTTATTCCTTATAGCCTATATTTATATATTAAAGGTAGACATATAATACATACAGTTATATGTATAATTTCTGGATCCTAGCAGCCAACACATAATAGTGGTCCTTACTGTTGAACATTTGCTAAATTGTTTCAGTGGGTAAGGTACTATTCCAAGATCATGGGTGATATAGGGTTGGATAAAACATGGTTCCTCTCCAAGGAGCTTATAATCCTGGTGGGAGAAGTGAGCATATGCACGGCCACTCCAACAAAGTGTGAGTGGTGTAGTATAGATACAGTGATCTTAATTGTCTGTGGTTCCTGTTTCTGCTGCGGTGATTTGGGGAGGTGGCTTATAGGTATAGACGTGACTTTCTGAAGTCAATCCTATATGCAGAAAATGAAGTTTGAATTTACCCTTATATTGGTCTTGAGTTGTTTCCCCTTTGATTTACCTACCACCAGACTTTTATTCTTACTTGAAATATCCCAATCATTTAACTTGATTGCAGTTAACTCCTAAAAGCTCCTACATGAAGATTTGAGAATTAAAGGCAAGGAGACATATTGTAATACTTTTAACAATAAAGAATTTTTTTTAAATTTCTTTATTGGTTAAGGTATTACAAATGGCTCAGTGGATAGAGTGTCGGCCTGCGTACTGAAGGGTCCCAGGTTTGATTCCAGTCAAGGGCATATATACCTTGGCTGCGGGCACATCCCCAGTGGGGGGTGTACAGGAGGCGGCTGGTCGATGTTTCTCGCTCATCGATGTTTCTAACTCTCTATCGCTCTCCCTTCCTCTCTCCCTTCCTCTCTGTAAAAAATATCAATAAAATATATTTTTTTTAAAAGTCTCAATAAAGAATTTTTTTAAAAAAGAATAAAAGGCAGTTGCCCTGGCCTGTGTTGCTCAGTTTGTTGAACCATTGTTTCATATACCAGCAGGTGGCAAGTTTGATTCCCAGTTCAATTTAAAATCAATTTAAAAAGAATTAAAGACAATGGTTGGGGGTTTAGAAGGGGGTGGCTACAGAGGGGTGATAGAAAATCATTGGTGCAGGATGAGAACTCTGATGTTTCCTTTCAGAACATGCTTGGATGCTGTATAAAAAAAATCTATACCGGTTATCAGAAGATGTGATAGATGTTCCAGTTAATGAGTTTGTAGCACGGTATTACATAATATAGTATTGATTCAGTTTGGTTTAATCCAGTGCAGATGCATTATTCTAGCCCAGCTGTGGGCAAACTACGGCCCGTTTGAAATGAATAAAACTAAAAAAAAAAAGACCGTACCCTTTTATGTAATGATGTTTACTTTGAATTTATATTAGTTCACACAAACACTCCATCCATGCTTTTGTTCTGGCCCTCCGGTCCAGTTTAAGAACCCATTGTGGCCCTCGAGTCAAAAAGTTTGCCCACCCCTGGTCTAGCCTTAGGAGTTCTGCATGCTTAACTTTCTTAGGACAAAGAATGTGACTTATGCCAAAATTGAGCAATGAGTAATGGCTTCACTGTGGTTTTTCCTAATTTGCTATTCAAAATTTGTCTCATTGACTGCTTATTAAACTAGTCTAAGTATTTTAAGTATTTGCAAGTAATTAGTCTGCTGTGTGAATGGCTTGAGTAGTGATTAAAGTGGAATGTCAACTTTTTTTTTATTGGAAACATTCCTATTTTTGTTGAGCTCTCCTTCCTTTGTAGATGAAAAATTATAGTTCCCATGGCCTTTGTGTAGTTGTTTCTTTGATTTGATCCCACACACCTAAGGTGTAGGCATGCGCTTGAGAGTGGTGCTATTAAAGAGAGGACCTGCTAGATCTGGTTAGATCTGAGGCCACTGTTAAACAAGGACCCTTTTCTAAGGTCACAGACTGTAACCCCCAAACCTCATCATGATGGCAGTGTGTGAGCTATTTCAAGAGGACCGGACAAATGTGTTCACATCCTTTCCTAGTATTGAAAATATGAGAACACTGTAGCAAGGGAACATCCCCAGAAGGAGTCCTTCCACAATGCCAGGTTTATTAGGAGAATAAACCCCATTACACCCTCGTACCTCAGTCTTGACATAGTACTTGATATAACTGTCATGGCTGGCTGTGACTCCATAGTGGATTGACAGAGGTGTCCAAAAAGTCCGCTCTGCTCTGCTCTCTGCATCGTTAGCACCCAGCCTTTCACAAGGGCAGCACATGCACACAGACATTCTCCTCTTTCCTCATGCTGTGGTGGAAATATCCATAGATGAGTCAGATGACCAGAATCGAAGTCCTGGGATTTGGGAATTAAAAAAACAACAACACACCACCAGGTTCAGTTGTACTACCATAACAGTTTTGCGACTTGAGCAGTTTTATATAACTTCTCTGGATTTGTTTAGTATTTTTAACGGCCTTATTGAGATATAATTCACATATTATACAATTCACTCGTGTAAAGTATATAGTTTATTGGCTTTCTGTATATTCACAGAGTTGTCCATCCATCACCACAGTTGATTTTAGAACATTTTCATTGCCCTCCAAAGAAGCCCTGCACCTAGTTGTCACTTACCAGTCCCCTCATTCCCTCTAGTCCTAGGCATCCACTAATCTATTTATAAATTTGCCTAATCTGTACATTTCACATAAATAGAATCATACAATATGTAGTCTTTTGTGACTTCTTTCACTTAGCATAACATTTCAAGGTTCCTCAGTATTTAGCACTTATTAGCACGTTGTTCCTTTTTATTGCCAAATAATATTCCACTGTATGGATATATTGCACTTGTTTTATCCATGCATCAGTTGATGGACACTTAAGCTGTTTCCACTTTTTGGCTACCATGAATAATGCTGCTGTGAAGCTTCCTGTACAAGTTTTTGTGTGGACCTGTTTTCATTTCTCTTGGGTATATACCTAAGAGTGAAATTGCTAGGTCACATGGTAACGCTATGCTTAATTGTTTGAGGAATTGCCAGACTGTTTCCAAAGTGTCCATTTTATTCGCTTAATTTTACAGTGTACTAGGATTCCAGTTTTCTGTATCCTCACCAGCACTTACTTGTAATCTGACATTTTTTAAATTATAGCGGATATGAAGTGGTATCTCATTGTGGGGTTGATTTGCATTTTCTTGATGGCTTATCATGTTGAACATGTTTTCATGTGCCTACTAGCCATTTGTATATCTTTTTTAGAGATATGTCTGTTTAGATCTTTTGCCCATTTTTTAATTTGACCATTTGTCATTTTATTATTGAAGTGTAATAGTTCTGTATATATTCTAGATATAAGTCTCATCAGATAAATGAGTTGCAAAGATTTTCTTCCATTCTGAATTATCTTTTCACTTTTTTGATGGTGTGCTTGAAACACAAACACAATTTTTATATGCCCAGCTTATCTAGTTTTTTTTTATTATGTTTTTAGTGTCATATGACACTTGCCTAATTCAAGGTCATGAAGTTTTGTCAATTTCTGCAAAAAAAAAAAAAAAAGTCAGCTGAAATTTTGATAGGGATTTTGTTGAATCCGTATGTTAATTTGGGGAAAACAATGTTTTATAGTGTTCAGAGTAAAAGTTTTGTGCTTCTTTGGTTAAATTTATTCCTATGTATGTTATTTGTTTTGTTTCTATTGTAAATGGAATTGTTTTAATTTCATTTTTTATTTGCTCATCACTACTATATAGAAATATAATTTTTATATATTCATCTTATTTCTTGCAACATGCTGAACTCACTTATTGATTCAGTTATTTTTTAGTGGGATTGTGTCATCTGAAAATAGAGATAGTTTATCTCTTTCTTTTCAATCTGGATGCCTTTTATTTCCTTTTCTTGTGTAGTTGCCCTGGCTAAAACCTCCAGTACAATGTTGAATAAAAGTGGGAGCTTAGTCATTCTATATAATAATCCTATATAATAAAAGGGTAATATGCAAATTGACGGAGCAGCACAATGACTGGTCGCTATGATGCACACTGATCACCAGGGGACAGACGCTCAACACAGGAGATGCCCCCTGGTAGTCAGTGTGTGCATTCCCACAGGAGGAGCACCACTCAGCCACAAGCCAGGCTGATGGCTTGCGAGCGCAGTGGCCCAACTCCACGGCAATGCTAAGGCTGTCCAACTGCGGGCCTAAGCCATCAGTCAGACATCCTCTGAGGGCTCCCAGACTGCGAAAGGACGCAGGCCAGGCTGAGGGACACCCCCCCACCACCACCACCAGTGCACAAATGTCGTGCACCAGGCCTCTAGTTTTAAAATAAAGTCCTAGATCCAAAAATGACTTGTAAAGGTTAATGGTCGGTAATGTTGTCAAGGCCCACAATCTATAAGCAGTGAATCCGAGGTGCTGATAGATGTGTATGCTCATAATTTCTATTTCTCCTGGAAAATATTAGTCAAACATGATCATTTTTACTAAACTGTTGTCTCCTAACAAATTTTTTTGCAGTGAAAATTTAGATTAATTGAAGAAATCTTTAAAATCCATCTTTCTCTCCAATTCAATGAGAAATATGCTTACATACTCTGGGTACAGATAAAACATGGTCCTTGCATGATAGATGAATGTAAACACTAGTCAGTGTCCCAATGTTTCTCATGCCTCCCTCTAAAGTGCCTTTGCTTTTCTTAACCATTCAGAATAAAATAGAGGAACTTTGGTGCTAGAAGAAGCTATCCTCCCTCCTTTTATAAATGAAGAAATAGTTCACTAGAGGTCAAATCCTGGGCATGGTCACAAGTACTATGCATATATACTGGTATAGTAGGCCCTCAGTTACTGGCTGTTGAGTGAGTTAGGCCAGGGACCTTCAGAGGATTGGGGTGAGAACTTCTGGGTTCTAAAGCCTCAGTGGTCACCTGGCTCTAAACCTCGTGCTGGTGAATTCTGCTCTGCTGTCTCCAGGGGATGCCTGTAGCAGCTGTTGTGCATCCAGCTGACATATCTGACCTGACGGAACTAGAGGGCTCTCAAAATCCTCCCACTCCGCAGCTGGCTGTCTGGTCTGAACTGATTTGTTCCTTGCAGCTTTAGTTTGGGATAGTAATCTTTTGTAGGGTTATATACAGTGTGGGGACAGGAACTTGGCAGGGCAAAGGAGTGTTTTTAGTAGTCTACCCTTTAAATCTTCCACCTAGAAGAGAATTCCTAATAGGGATGAAGAAACACTGTGCTACACTTTTTCATGTTCCTAATTCCATTTCTACTACCCCACATCCTTGGTAATGGCAAAGGAAGAGTGTGTATTACTTTTTTAACTTGACAGAGGGAATGTGGAGGCCCAGAAATTCACTTGCCTAAAGTTAAAGAGTTTAGTATATTGAGGGGGACTGGCAGAAGAGGAGATGGGCAGTATACTAGTGTACTGTCCATGGTTTCATAGCTGTTTGAGTATGTACAGTTTGTGTATTGGAGTTCTTAGGTAGCTCTTCTGGGCCTAGAATGAAATTCTAATAAAGAACAACCCTAGTGGTTGAGATCCAGTGCAATGGTTCTGTGACTTTTGGCTGGTGCTATTGCTGCAACCATTGGTTAATTAAAATGACAAAGTACATTGAGAACTAACTGATAATAACTTTTTTCTGCCATCATCACCTCCCAAGTAAAGACAACCCTTCATACTCTTCCTCGGAACTTGCTCCACCTCAGTACTTTCTATTAATATAGAACAGAAACATTTGGTTAAAATGTAGAAGTCTATGTAACAAAAGTATGTTTTTAAAATAGATATTTTGAATAGTTTCAGTTATCTTTTAATTTGCTTAACTCTGTCTCTTTTCTCCTTCCTTCTCTTTGCCCATTTTGAACTCAGAAAAACTTGAAGGCATTACTTGGTACAGTAGTTACAGACGCCTGGGTTTGAATCAGGCTCTGCTAGTTATGTCTGAGTGATTGTCACTTGTTTGCTTAACCTCTCTGTGCCAAAACTTGTTACATGGAAAAATAATAACTTGTAACCTCATAGGATTGCAGCAATGATTAAATGAGTTAATACATGTAAAGTGTTTAGAAGAGTACTTGACATGTAGAATGTACCTCGTACATGTTAGCTGTTTTTGTTAAAAGTAGTCATAATAATAAAAATACTATCACTACCACTGCTACTACTGTAGTCTTAATCCAACTCCAACTCTTCTGGTCAAAGTTGAGTACATGTAATTTAGTTTCTGTAAAAACCAATTGAAGGTAATTTGTCCATCACACATACCTTCCTCTCCTATCAGTTGGGATGATAA